AGCAACCCCGTACCGGCCCCCCACCCGCAAAAAACAAAAATTAAGTTTGTTTTTAAAAAATATTTTCAAGTTCAAATTTTTATTTTTTTCACCCCTACAGTGCTGCGATACAAGGTTTCGTCATGAAAAAGAGATCCTTCAAAACTTGAGAGTTTAAAGAAAGATGCAGCAGATGTTGAAATATTATTGCAACCATCCATTTGTGCTTTCCGCAACAAATCAATAGCATAACGATGTTGAGAAAGATGCAAACCAGTAGGTGTCCATGATGCTTCAATCCCCAATAAATAAGAGAGGCGACCAAGGTCTCGCATAGCAAACTGTGACTTTAGGCGAGTAATAGCAGAGCCAACAAGAGACGAACTAGAGCCCAAAACAAGAAGGTCATCAACATACACCAAACAAATATTTTATCACCATTCGAGGAGAAATGAAATAATGAAAAATCTGTTTTTGATCCCGTAAAGCCATAAGAGATCAAGGCGTTTGTTAAACATTTATTCCACATTCGCGGAGCTTGTTTGAGTCCATAAAGAGAACGCTTGAGCAAGCAAACATGCTTAGGAAGATCTGTATCAACAAATCTAGGAGGTTGAGACATGTAGACCACTTCATCGAGGGTACCGTGAAGAAAAGCATTAAAGATATCCAATTGAGTAATATGCCAGTTATTCGAGACTGCCAGGAAAGAAGAAGGCGAATGGTCGCAGGTTTCACGACTGACTAAAGGTATCAACATAGTCCACACCCGGTCTTTGATGATACCCTTTAGCAACGAGTCGAGCCTTGTAACGATCAATGGACCCATCAGGCTTAACCTTTGTTTTAAAAATCCATTTACTCCCAATAATATTTTGAGACGGAAAAGGTGGTACTAATTGCCAAGTCCCATTTTGTAAGAGAGCATTGTATTCCTCTTGCATCTCCCTACGCCAATGTGCATACTTCGTAGCTTGAGAGTAACAAGAAGGCTCAACAACATTAGTTGACATAGCTAAGTAAGAGGTGGGACACTTTGGTTTTAGTGAACTTGTTTGTGATCGAGTAGTCATCGGATAAGACTTAGATGAAGAGCATGACAATTTGTTTGGATGATTCACGTCGCTTAAAGGACTAGATTGTTCAAAATCAACCACTTGATTTCCACCTTCATTAGGCAATGTATTTGACGGAATATCCAAAGATAGAGAAAGAGTAGGTGTAGGCATAACATGTTATTGTAGAGGGTATTGAGGTTGCATAGAGCATTGCGATGTAAAAGTGGAGGATGAATTATCCAATAAGGTTGCATTGACTGTAGCAGGAGAAGAACTAGACGAGTGCAATAAGGAAGAAATAGGCACAATTGTGGTTGTGGAAGAGGAGAAGGTATCTGGACAGTAAGCGGGGCATCATTGGTTGATGTAGTAGGCACCATAGCGTCATCCTGAGTAGCAAAGGGAAAAATTGTTTCGTCAAAAACAACATGACGTGAGACAAAAAAGTTAGAAGAAGTAGGATCAAAACACTTATAACCTTTATGAATTTTGCTATATCCCAAAAACACACACCTCTTAGAACGAGGAGATAATTTATCCTCCGTATAAGGGCGAAGCCATGGAAAGCAAAGACAACCAAACACATGCAACAAAGATTAATCAGGGTCACAATTAAAAAAGATGCGAAAGGGAGGCTGATTATTTAGACGGGAGTCGGTAATCTATTTATGATATAAACAGCAGTATCAAAAGCATTTGTCCAAAATTTTGAAGGAACACTTGCATGCGTTAATAAGGCACGACTCGTCTCAACAATATGTCAATGTTTACGTTCAACACAAGCATTTTGTTCCGGGGTATAAGGACAAGAAGAACGTTGTGTAATACCATTGTCTCTTAAATATGATGTTAATGCCTGATACTCTCCTCCCCAATCTCCTTGAAAGCTCTTAATTGGACGACTAAAGTATTTTTTCCACAATTTTTTGAAATTGAATAAAAATAGAAAGAACCTCAGACTTGAATTTAAGAAATAACTAAATCTAAAGGGCATGCCGCTTGAAAACTAGACTCAACAAATGGAATTTTGTGACTCTTGCTAATAGTACAGGTTGGACACAAACTAGAAGACCCACAACTAGATGGAATAAAAGTATTAGATGGCAAGGCCCGACAAACGGTAGGATAAGATGTGTGAACCAAACGCGCATGCCAAACACCAAGTGAAGCTGCATAAGAAGCTGGTGAAGAAATTGACTTCAATATCGGAAGGGAATATAAACCTCCATCAATCGGTCCTTTGTGAAGAGTTGCCCTCGTTTCCAAGTCCTTCATCAAAAAATAGTTAGGAAAAAATTCAATGGACACTTGGCTAGAATTAGTAAAAGAACTGATAGATAGTAAATATTGGGTAGTAGTGGGAACATGAAGAAGACTATCAAGAACATACGACTTATCGGAAATAAATAGAGATTCTTTACCAATATGCGAGATGGAAAATTTGGAACCATTATCTAGGGTAACTTCTTCGGGACCATGATATGCTGAGTGAATTGCAAGGTTGTTGAGATCAGATGTCTGATGATGCGTGGTGCCACTATCCATCAACCAATTTTGCGCCGCTTGGGAAGAAGCACTTGCTAGATTTGAAGAGGGACGTCCAGATACCCGATTTCCATTCGTAGTCCTAGGTGACGGACAAACACGTGCATTGTGACCCTTTCCTTCACAATTATGGCAAACAATTCCAGAAAAATCAGAGGAAGGTTGTGGATTTTCAGAGTAAGTTCCTGAATGAATTGTGGGGGCATAATGCCGACTTTGAGATTGTGGTGAACTTCCATGGCTAGAAAAGTGTCCACGACCTTGACTAGTACTCCCCCTACCGCGTCCACACTGTGTAGAGATTGAACTTTGTGTGTATTGTGCTATTAGGGAAATAACATTACTAGCATCTTCACGTTTTAATTGTCTTTCTTCATTCAACAACATACCATAAAGTGCATCAAAGGTAACATCCTCATGACGTGATTCAAACGACCTTGTGAAGGGGCGATAGGCAGGGCCTAATCCAGCAAGAACAAACTCCACTAAGTCATCATTAGTGACCGGGTGCTGCAAGGCAACTAACTTATCAGCAATCGCTTTTACCCCTTGCACGTAACATTCAATAGTAGCATTATCACGACGCAAGTTGTGTAATTGCGCCTTAAGTTCTCGAATCAGTGGTTTAGACCCAGTGGCATAGGCTGCCACAAGTTTTTCCCAAGCCGCACGAGCTGTTTCTGCTCCGACCAATTGAGGGAGAATGCTTTCTGAAACTGAAGCAACTATCCAACTCAAGACGAGTTGATCTTGACGCACCCAAACCTTATATGCAGGATTTGGTTGATCACCATCCAAAACGCGCGGTGGTACTGGTTCGCTACCATCAATATAATGGTTAAGACTACAACCACAAATCATTGGAAGAAATTGTGTCTTCCAAAGCAGGAAATTTGTTGACGTGAGCTTTATAGGCAATTGGTGAGCGAGATTAGGCATAGGAAAATAGTTTCCCATGGCATTCGTTGAAACAACTGAAGTTGCCAGGGCAGAAGTGGTCGCATTAGTTTCTCCCATTAGGATAGGTCGTTTCTGATCAATTATTTTTTATTCAGAACGAAAAGAAAAAATTGGTTGTTAAACCAAAAGGCTCAAATACCATGAAAGAGTTCTTTATTCATATGTAAAATATGTACAACAATAATGAATATATATAGAAAACCAAATAGTGAAAAAACGTACGGGAACTAGGCATCAAGGATTAAGGAGAAGTAGTTTCCTTAGACATCACAACTTAACCTTTTACATAGTTTAAATATACTAGGAATCTATATCTAAGAAGCCTATTCTTTACAAACAACAAACAAAAAATGGAGAAAATAATAAAATTGGACGAACGGTACAAGCAATTTTTTTTATAAGTGTCATTGAGTAATTACTTTATTCAACGGTTGCTTAGTTAATAGTTATTAGCTCAGAATATTACTTTTTTGTTTGTTGAAGAAAGTCGGAATCAAGAAGAAAGATGACTTTCTATGATAACAACTATTTCACTGATCATATGAAAAATCAACCCGTAAAAATATCATCCTTTTTTTGGCCTATTTTGTGTTAAATTAAAGTTATATAGATAAAGAGAAGTCGGGACATAAATGTTAAAATATTTCACTAACGAAGCATATAAGTAAATAACACAAATTAAACAAGTATATGATATGCTTAAAACATTATTAAAATTAAATAAACAATTGTACTAATATGTTTAAAACATTATTAAAATTAGGAAAAAGGACAAATATACCCCGAACTGTCGTAAATTGTATGCAGATACCCTCCGTCATACTTTTAGGACATTGGTGACCCTGCCGTCTAAAAACTAGAGCATATGTATCATTTATACTAACGGATATACACGTATCATAATATATATATATATATATATATATATATATTATATGATAGTACATGAAAATAAATAGCTTCCGTCAAATCCAAAATTTTCTTGTCATTATAAGTCGTGCCAAAGCATCAAAACTAATGGAACCCAACTGATTTTGATCATGACATCAAATAATGAACAATATTTAATTTGTTAGGCAGAAATATATGTATTTCAACTTTAAAATTTTATTTAATCTAATTTTTAATATATACCAACAAAAAAGAACTAGAACAACATTCTTGGAATAGACAATAAAAGTTTGGATTTATTTTTTAAAAATAAGTGAGTTAATCAAATTTGTATAAATTGTTCATGGCTTCCCATTATCTCAAGACATTAGTGGAATAGCATTAAGCAAAAAATGAGAAAATCAAAGATATGTTTGGATTATTTTGAGAGCATCAAAATCATCAAGTCACCTTCTAAGTTATGTTATATAAGCTCCTAATACCTCCATTCTAAAACACACAAGAAAAAGAAAAACAAACCAATAGCTAGCCTTAGAATCCAATTCATCTCAATGGGAAGCCAAATGAAGAAGCAATTTGCTTGTGCTTTGGCATTTTTCTTGGTTGCCACATGCACTATGGCATACTCACCTTATTCTTATGAAACAACAGATTCAACATACAAAAAAGTACCAACCACAATTGCTAAAAGTGAAGACTACGAGGTACCCTCAATGCCTGAAAATGAATATAAGACGTCATTTTTGCCAAAGAATGATTACTACAAAAAGACATTAGTTTCAGAAGATAATGAAAAGAAAGTACCTTCGGTTGCTGAACATGAATACAAGGTACCCTCAGTGCCTAAATCAGAATACAAGATGTCGTCTTTTCCAAGAAACGAATATTTCAATAAGCCATCAATTCCAGAAGATAGCTACAAGAAGGTGTCATATGTTCCAGAGGCAGAATACAAGGAGTCATTTTTGCCAAAATTTGACTACTTTAAGAAGCCATCAGTTTCAGAAGATAACTATGAAAAGGTGTTCTATGTTACAAAGGTTCCCTCAGGGCCTAAAGAAGAATACAAGGTGTCTTCTTTGCCAAAGAATGACTACTACAAGAAGCCATTAGTTTCAGAAGACAACTACAAGAAAGCGTCATACGTTCCAGAGCTACACTCGATAGCTAAACCAGAACATAAGGAGTCATTTTTGCCAAAATTTGACTACTTTAAGAAGCCATCAATTCTAGAAGACAACTACAAGAAGACGTCATATGTTCCAGAGGTACCCTCGATGGATAAATCAGAATATAAGGAGTCATTTTTGCCAAAATTAGACTACTTTAAGAAGCCATCAATTTCAGAAGAGAATTATGAAAAGGTGTCATGTATTCCAAAGGTTCCCTCTGTGCCTAAAGAAGAATACAAGGTGTCTTCTTTGCCAAAGAATGATTACTACAAGAAGCCACTAGTTCCAGAAAATAACTACAAGAAGGTGTCATATGTTCCAAAGGTGCCCTCAGTGCCTAAAGAAGAATCCAAGGTGCCTTCTTTGTCAAAGAATGACTACTACAAGATGCCATCAATTTCAGAAGATAACTACAAAAAGGTTTCATATGTTTCAAAGGTGCCTTCAGTGCCTAAGGAAGAATACAAGGTGCCTATTTTGCCTAAGAATGACTACTACGAGAAGTCATCAGTTTCGGAAGACAACTACAAGAAGGTGTCATATGTTCCTAAGACCCTCTGTACCTAAAGAAGAATACAAGGTACCTTCTTTGTCAAAGAATGACTACTATAAGAAGCCATTTGTTGTAGAAGATAACTACAAAAAGGTGTCCTCAGTACCTAAACCAGAATACAAGGTGCCGTCTTTGCCAAAAAGTGACTACTACAAGAAGCCATCACCTTCTCCATCACCACCACCTCCATATTATTAAATTTCCACATTTCATGTTCAACATGCATGCTTCATTTAAGTCCTTTTCCAGCTCAACATATATAGCCCACAGGGTTATCGTATTTCGAGTTAGAAGGCATGATATCAAAATTTGTAATTCTTTAATTAATTGAATCTTTTCTTTTCCTACTTCGGATTGTAATTGTATTGTCATTAAAATTCTATTTTCAATGTTCCAAGAGATACATTTCAATTGGAGACAAGTTCTTTTTATTGAATGTTTATTGGAAAAAGGCTTAAATATGCGATCAAATTTTTGAGATAAAAGTTCATCTATGTCATCCGTTAAAGTTTGACTCATGTATATCATTTCTGTTTGAGAAAAGACTCATCCGTTATACTTTTAAAAATGCCCTCCCTTTTAATTTTCCAGCCGTTTAGATTACTACTTCAGATATTAAAGCATTTAACGGTGGTTAATATGGTGCAATTAGCGCCATAAATTGTAATTTAGGTGTATTTAGCGGCAATTTGTAAATTTTAAGTGGCAATTTAATCAAACGTAAAATTAATTTGTGTGAATCAAGTGGTGGTTATCCAAATACCAAATAGTTAACCAAACATAAAATTAATTTGTGTTATATAATTATATATTAGAAAAATAATAGTTGAATATTAGTGAGTGATTAATTAGACGTGTTTAGTGGCATTTATGTGAATTCATGGTTTGGGTAAATTTAATACGTGAATTTATAGATGTTGTTTATGTGCATTTAACGACAATGGTTTATGAGAATTTAGTAGCTTTTAGGTGAATGCAACAAGAATTTAGGTCTGGGGTTCGAACCTGGGTATGGAGAAAATTCTGTTGGGAGCGCCACTTCTGAATGGACCCTGCAGTGCGCGATCTGGATTTAGTCAAAGCTCCATTATGGGCTCCGGACACCGGATTGGGAAACCAAAATAAGAAACAAGAATTTTTGTGAAGTTAGCAGCCGAATAAGGTAAATTTAGGTGAATTTAGCAATGATTTAGCTAATTACCAAATAGTTAAACCAAACATATAATTAAATATATGGTATATATTAGAAATATATAATAGCTTCCAATATATTGTCATTCTTGGTATTGTAAAGTATGTATAATGTATGGTCCAATGATGTGAATTTTAAGTAGTGCTCAAATATCAATCAAGTACATAGAACTTTCTAACTCAACTAATTCTCATGACATAAAATAATGAATAATATTTGTTAGGCCAACAACACAAGTATTTCAACTTTAAAAATTTTATCTAGTCAATTTTTCAGTGTACCAACAAAAAAGAACAAGAATAACATTCTTGGAAGTCAATAAAAGATTAGACTTGATTTTCAATTTTCCAACAAAAATTGTTCATGGCTTCCCATTATCTCAACACCTAATAGAAAAATCTTGAGAGCATCCAAATCACCATCTTAGTTAAGCTATATATAAATACCTACTTCCTGCATTCTAAAACACAAGAAAAAGAAAAATATAACCATCTAGCCTTAAAATACAAATATTCTCAATGGGAAGCCAAATGAAGAAGCAATGGCCCCAATTTGCTTGTTCTTTGGTATTTTTCTTGATTGTCATATGCACTATGGCATATTCACCTTATTCTTATGAACCATCAGATTCAACATACAATAAAGCACCAACCACAGTAGCTAAAAGTGAAGACTACAAGGTTCCCTCGGTGCATAAAGAGGAATACAAGGTGCCATCTTTATCAAAGAATGACTACTACAAGAAGCCATCAGTTTCAGAAGAATACTATAAAAAGGTGTCATAGGTTCCAGAGGTACCCTCAGTGCCTAAAGAGGAATACAAGGTGTCTTCTTTACCTAAGAATGAATTCTACAAGAAGCCATCAGTTACAGAAGATAACTATAAGAAGGTGTCGTCAATTTCAAAAGATAACGACTACAAGGAACCCACAGTGCCTAAAGAGGAATACAAGATGTCTTCTTTACCAAAGAATGACTACAAGAAACCATCGGTTCTAGAAGATAACTACAAGAAGGTGCCAACTGTTCCAGAGGTACCCTCAATGCCTAAACAAGAATACAAGGTGTCGTCTTTGCCAAAAAATGACTACTACAAGAAACCATCAATTCCAGGAGATAATTACAAGAAGGTGTCATTTGTTCCTAAGGTACCCTTAGTGCCTAAGCAAGAATACAAGGTGCCTTCTTTGCCAAAGAATGACTACTACAAGAAGCCATCAATTTTAGAAGATAACTATATGAAGGTGCCATATGTTCCAAAGGTACCTTCAATGCCTAAACAGGAATACAAGGTGCGTTCTTTGCCAAAGAATGACTATTACAAGAAGCCATCAAATCCAGAAGATAACTACAAGAAAGTGTCATATGTTCCAGAGGTACCCTCAGTGCCTAAAATGGAATATAAGGTGCCTTCTTTGCCTAAGAATGACTATTACAAGAAGCCATCATTTCCAGAAGATAACTATAAGAAGGTGCCATTAGTATCAACAGATAATGACTACAAGGTACCCTCCGTACCTAAACAAGAATACAAAATGCCTTTGCCAAAGAATGACTACAAGAAACCATAAATTCCAGAGGATAATTACAAGAATGTGCCAACAGATTTTACTAACAACTTAAGTTGGTTAGTATTCTACTAACAAATTACCAACATATTTCTAACTAAACTATATTTTAAAACTTAACAACGAAATTCTAATAGATTACCAACCAAATCTTACTAACTAATTTTTTTAGTTGGTAAATACGACGGGAAAAAATGGCGCCAATTTTAGCAACATTCTATCCATGGATTACCAACTGAAATATTACTAACGCACACCTTTTGTTGGTACTATTACCAATGAAGTATATATCGGTTGGTAAATATGACAAAAAAATTATTTGTATACTTTATTAACATATTACCAATGAATTACTAACCAAACATTTACCAACGGCAAGATTGTGTTGCTAAATTTACCAACCAAATATAAATGTGTTGGTAAATTAGTAACGAAATATAATTTGTTGGTAAACTTGCCAACCAATATCCAATTAGTTGAAAATTTTGCCGACGAATAAAGATTGTAGTTAGTAAATTACTAACATCATTAAAATAGTTGGTAATATACCAACCGATCATTAATCCATTGGTAAATAAAATTTATTGGTAAATTATTAATTACTAACTTATATTTGAATAGTTGGTAAATTTATCAATTGAAGTTAAACTTTTTGGTAAATCAGCGTCTAGTGTTGAGGCTT